TCTTATATTAAAAAATAAGATCTCAGATCAGCAACCCAACTTTGCATTTCAACAAACTAGAAAAAGAACAAACTAAGCCAAAAGTTAGGACAAGAAAGAAAACAATAAGATTGAAATGGAGATAAATAAAATGGAGAAAGGAAAAACAATAGAAAAAAAACCAGGGGAATCAAGATTTTTTTTCTTTTGAGAAAACAAAAATTAAAAACTTTAGTTAGACTAAGAGAAAAAAGACTCAAATAAGGAAAATCAGATACAGGGGTTATTACAGATAATGTCACAGAAATAAAAATAATTATAGTAGAGTAATAGGAATAATTATATGCCAACAAATTGGATAACCTGAAAGAAAGGATACACTTCTGTAAGTAATATGTAAGGAACTCCTTCCACTCAATAGCAAAAACAGAAATAAACAACCTACCTCCAACATGAAACAATAAAATTTGATTAAAAAATCAGCCAAATACTGGACAATTTTCTAGAGAAGTACTCATAACCAACAACCATATGAAGATATGCTCAACATCACTAGTCATAAAGGAAATGCAGATAAAAACAATAAGATATCATCTTGTGTCAATTAGTATGGTCCTTATCAAAGGAAGAGAAAATAAATTTTGACAAGGATACAGAAAAATTAGGACTTTTGTTCACTCTGCGAGGATTTAAATGGTACAGTTGCTAGGAAAACCAGGATGGGAGTTCCTATGAAAATTAGAAATAAAATTGCTATGTGATACAGCAGTGCCACTTCTGGGTATATATATCCAAAAGAATTCCAAGCAGTATCTCAAAGAGGTATTTTCACACTCATGTTTATTGTACCATTGCCCACTACAGCCAAGCATTGGAAATATCCTAAACATCCATCAGCAAATGAATGAATAAGATAAATGTAATATATGTATATATGTGTGTATACATATATATGTATAGATACACATGTTTATATATGTATATATGTACACACACATATTACATATATATATCAGAGATATTTTCAAAAACATCCATCAGCAAATGAATAAGATAAATGTAATATATGTATATATATTACATGTATATACATATATATACATGAAGTAATATTACATATATATATACATGAAGTAATATTACACAGCTTTATAAAGGAAGTGTATCCTATCATATGCTACAGTATGGGTGGATCTTGAGGTTATTATGCTGTGCAAAATAAACAAGTTCCAAAAGGATAAATTCTGTATGATTCTACTCATGAGGCATCTAATGTAAATAAAGATTAACATAAAGATTTCATTATTTTATGGCAGAGTAATATTTCATTATATATACATATGCATATATATATATTTCGCATTCTTTTTATCCATTCACCCGGATTACTAGAGGCTAGGAAGGGTGGTGGGAAGGCAGGAAGAGGGATGTTGGATGAAGAACACCAAAACAGTGGGTAGAAGGAATAATTGCTGGTTTTCCTCAGCCCAGTGGAGTCACAACAGTTTGCAGTAACACATTTTATATTTACAAAGGACTAGAAGAGACAAGCTCAAATGCTACAAACACAAAGCATGCTAGGGAGATGGAGTTGCTGATTACCTGGATGTGAACTATCACAGTGTACCCCATAAATAAGTACCATTATTACATGTACATGTGTTGAAATATTACACTGGATCTTATAAAAGTGTATAATATTGCATATTAATGAGAAAAAAAGTAGTTGAAATCAAGCAAACAGTAGAAAGGTGGTTTCTAAGGGCTGGGGGCAGGGAAGGAGGGAAGTCAGTATTTAATAGGCATGGAGGTTCAGTTTTTGCAGGATGAAAACTTCTGGACATTTCACCACATCGAGAATATTCTTAACACTACTGACCATTATTAAATTTTAAAATGTTTGTCTTTGTCTATCCGAAAGTGTGAGAGAGGGTGAAGAGAGATGTTCCATCCTGTTCACTCAGCCCAGGCTGATGCAGGAGCCTGGAACTCCCTCCAGGTCTCCCAAGAGGGTGATCGAGGCCCCAACTCTTGGGCCATCACCTGCTGCCTCCCAAACGTTTTGACAGGAAACTGTATCAGAACCGAGGAACCAGGAGCTGGACTGGCACTCTGATATGGGGTGTGGGCACCCCAAGTGTTGGCTTAACCTGCTGCAGCACAACGCCTACCTCAAGACGGTAAATTTCACGTTAGATTTTTTTTTTTACTGCAATAAAAAAACTAAAGTAAAAGCACACTGTCTAAACAAATATCAATTTCACTTTGAGGATGTAAAGAGCAATCAAATTTTGCTGTCAAAATGCTAAAATGATTATTTGAGTTTGATATGAAAAGATGCTATATAGAAATGTAAATAGAACAAGTGTTAGATGAATAAAGGAATTGTAGGGTAATTTATTTTTTTTTAAAGTTAGCTTTATTTATCTGAAAGGCAGACAGGGAGGGAGGGGGAAGGAGGGGGAGAGAAGCTGAGTGACACTTCCCTGTTTTGGTTGACTTCCCAACAGCCAGGGGTAGGCCAGGCTGAAGCTAGGAGCCAGTAACGCCGTTCAGGTCTCCCTCATGTGTGGCAGGGACCCAAGTACTTGAGACATCACCTGCTGCTTTGTAGGGTGCTCATTATCAGGAACTGGAATTGGGCAGAGCCGGAACTTGAACTCCGTCCACTATAGGATGTGGGTGTCCCAAGTGATGCCTTAAGCACTGTGCCAAGCGCCTGCCCCAGTTTTTCTAGTCTTTCCATGTGACATTGTTCCATGGTGGCTTGATGATTCCTTTCTTGTATAAACTACAGTCTAAGATTCCCCATTAGCACTGTGCTGGGGCATACAGTTCTCTAGCGATGTATTAAGAAACTTAAAACATTGTACGAATTCCAGCAACTCCTTCTGATTTGCAGGCTTTGTTAGGCACCATCTGACCAATAATATGTATATGCCAAGCCTGAAGCACCAGTAGTTGGTTCTTTCTTAATTGGTGGAAAATATAACAACAAGTGCCTACACAGAGAGAAATATGACTCAAAGAGTCTGAATCAACAGTACAGAAATGTGCAAAATTAGGTCTGTACGCTTTTCTGATTTTCCCTCTTATTTCTTTTTTTCTGTCACTAAACATTTGGTAGGAATGGAGAGATGCAGTCCAAAGCAGTAGATCTTGGGGACCAACTGTTTCCTGCCACCCGTGGGTCCTGTCCCACTGCAAGCTGTAATTCCTCCACTCTCTAGAGGGAGTGGTAGTAATGCAGTGATTACATGGACTGAGCCCCTTGGAGAGGAGGGGCCATTTCACAGGTCATAGTCTCGGCTGCAAGGCAGATTCTGGACTTAGCCTTGGTGCAGGGATGAAGAAACTAAGGGCCAGGGACAATGAGCAGCCGGGCTGGAGAGCGTGCACCCGGCAGGTGGCAGAGTCAGAGTGGACAACGGCACTGGGGCTGCCAGCCTGTGACACTGCAGGCTTAACCCACCCCCTGTATGGCTCTCATGCAGGGGTCTAAGGCCAGGGAGTAAGGGAGAGTCCACTTAGTGCGAGGTTGTCACACATTATATCATGATGATTTTTTGGGTCATTTTTCTTATTTTTTAAATTGAGCAAACCAAACACCAGCATCATGGAATCGCTTAGTGTTTTGCTGTTTTTGAAAACAACAGTGAAAACTGAATGCTTGTTTGCAATCCCGTTTACCATGGCCACACCCTCTGCACTGTTCCACCTGTCCACCACAGCTCTCTCCCCTTCCCTGGTCACCAGGCACTGAAAGGGTTAACAGTGGCTTGCAATGCTTAGGTCTTTGAGTTGGTGCCAGATTCCAGTTCATTTTATTCTTGGAGGCCTCTGATGATGGCAAAACATCTGTCTTAATGGCTGCTATGATATGTTACACTTTGTCTTAAAGAAATTTTTTATTGTCATGAAATGTTCAATTATTTTTCATTTTTTTGTCTTGTGTGCCCAATCTATTAAAATGTAATCCTGTATTTGTTTTATGTGAGCAATTAAATATGGGATAATCAATAATAGGAAAACAGCGTTTCTCGTCGGGAGAGCCTGGGCCTCTGTCCCTCAGTGTGTAGTTATTCAAAGTACCACTTTCAGAGCTTTGCAGACCAGAATCCCATTCACACCAGCGCTTGGGACTTTCTCCTTAACTTTGCTGAGGCCCAGTCTCTTTAACAGGCACACGGGTGCTGTCCTCTGAGGATTGCTATAATACTGGAATTAGTGCAGAAAGGGCGTATAGTAGTTGTTCAATAAAATCGAATCCTCTTCAGCAGCCACTTGCTAGCTTGTCAGGTGACAGCTGCTTTTGCTTAGCGTATTGTGATTGCAAGAACCGTGAATGTCCTTCTAGAAATGGAGAAAACTCATGTGAGGGCCTTTGTTTCCCCCTGCGGTTTTGTTTTGGGCCTCAGGAGTTTGCTCCAGCTGACAGGACTCTGGGAAGTGGCGCACCCTGGCAAGTCCGAGGCTGACAGCAGTGAAAGTCGAGTCAGAGCCGGAAGTGCAGTCCTCAGCACTTCACTTGCTGGCTCTGTGACCTCGTCAAATCATGCAAATTCCCTGCTCCTGTTTTCTCATCTGTAAAACAGGAGAAGCAGAAGCATCCATCCTGCGTGGCGGGCAGCACGCCTGTGACACTTCGCCCGCCCCTCTGCCATGCCCTCCACGGCAAGGCTGCAGAACTCCGGGATGCCCACTGCCACAGCACCTAGCGCTCTCAGTACAGAACCTTGACATTGGCATTACAGAGATTCATCTGACACCGTGGCACCATGTGGGATGCTTCTCCTTACCTGCTGTTCACTCCATTTCAATATTTTAATATTCCATCATGATAGCATGCGTGGATCAGCCATCGGAAGGGTCATTTTCCTGTAGTCCTCACTCTGCTGAATTCAACTTTACTCCTCTGGCTTCCAATCCACTTGAATTCCATTTTCACGCTGTCAGTGTTTGGAGGTGGGGAGAGAAGGGACGGGGTGGGGGGGGCTCCCTTTCTCCCGTGTTCCATCATTTTCCATTTTAGGCCTTTTGAGAATTGTTATTAAGGAATTTGACTGTCAAACGCTGCTGCGTATTCACAGCATGGTGCGCTCATCAAAACAAACCCATCCAGAGCGCTTCATTGTGGATTCCTAGTCCTGAAGCAGGAACCCCAAATAAGAAATGCTAATTTGTTTTAGGCCATTATCAGGTGCTTTTAAATATCCGCCAGGCAGGAACCAGTGTCTGCCCGTGAGGCGTTTCCATCCTAAAATCCTCACCCTCGCTGGCTGAAGAGAATAGTTTTTATAGAAACGGAGACAAACAACAGCAAGTATTTTCCCCGAGGACAATTTTAGCTACGGTTTGCCAAGGCTGCTGAGTTATTTCCGTCTTATTTTATGCTTTTGTTTGGAAACATCACGCGTTTTCACCTGGACGCGCTCCCGGGTGCCCAGGAACGGCTCAGCGGGTCGGTTTGCTCTGCCAAACGCAAGACCTGGGCAGAATCGGGAGGCGCCAGCGCCTCGCCCTTCCCCCTCCCTGCACCTCCAACGGGGAGAAAAGGGTTAAGGATTACCGGAGAACAGAGCGGGGCGGAGGGAGCCCCGAGGAGGCCCACGAGGAGCAGGAGACCCCGCCTCGGGGTCCAGCTTTCATCACCGCAGCGCACCGCTGAGCTTGGAGCGGCTCTGTATCTGGTGGAGGATGCGGCTGCCCATTTCTGGGACCTGCTGCGAGGAGTGGGCGTGGCCTCGCAGTGAGGATGCTTGTTAGGGAAGATGCTGGGTGCCTGTCGGTGAGGAGTGGGGCTGTGTGTGTGTGATAGAGTGGAGGAGGGAGAGGGAGAGAGAGGAGAAGAGGGAGAGGGAGAGAGGGAACGAGAGAGAGAGAGAGAGAGAGAGAAAGGGAGGGAGGGAGAGAGAGAGAGAGCAAGACCAGGAGACCAGGGGAGGAGGGAAGGAGGGAAGAGGGAGGGAGGGAGACTGAGAGAGACTCAGGTACTGAAGACCCAGGCGGAGCTGGGAGAGGGACTGGAGCAGGACTGGAGCCGGAGCAGAGCCACGCAAGATCTTCTGCGGGAGCCCAGCAGATGTGAACATGGGGTCTGTCCTCGGAGCCCTCCTCCAAGCACTACTTCTGTTATCTACTCAAAATTGGAGCAGCATCGAAGCTGGAGATTCCTGTAAGTAGACCGCAGATGATTTAAAACTTGCAGGGAGCTCTCTGCACAAACTTTGATTCTGCCGTTTTGATGATTATTTGTTTGCCACTGGATTTGCCGCAAGGCATCTTGCTGTAAATGAAGCGGCCCTTGAAGATTCTGCTAGTGCCACTGGGTTGATACTTGTCTTTCCTCCTGGTCTGGGCAAAACAGGCAAAGTGCTATGTCTCTTTTTGTCTGTGAGTAGGATCTTACCCTCTTGTCTTTGAATATTCATTGAGCATACTCAAGTTCTAGTAAAACATTAAATTAGCATCTTAACCAGGGAAGAGCCTGTGAATGTCTTCATTTCTTCCCCTTTTTACGGACTACAGGCTTTTATTGGAATTATGTCTAACAAGAAAGCAACTGGCAGACTTTACATTATGCTGCATTAGCTTACATTTCTGAAGTTTGCGATTTGGCACACCAGCGGCTGGCTGCATCTTTAAAATGATGCAGGCTAATAGCTGAAATGTACTGCAGGCTTCAGGAGCAGGCAAACCTCAATATTCAGATCTGTGTCCTCGCCACTAAAAGCATGGGACTTGGAGAAAGAGGGGCTGATTGCTACATTTTGCAGAAAGGAAAACATTCTGGTGATTTTTTCAAAAGTGGTATGCTTCGGTGGTTGAATTTTTGACTTTACATGCTCGTAATGGAATATTCTGACTCTGAGTGCATTGGTTCAGGCATGGTTTACTGCATCCTTATTTCTGATTTGAATATTGTCCAAAATAGTTGACAGACTCTCTCCAGCCACTTTTTTTTTTTAAACAGAGATTAAAAAAAAGTTTTAAAAGTTGTGTTTGGCTTAAAACTCCCAAATGGGAGAATTTTGGCCTTCTGGCTAAAGAACAGCCAAGCTCTGGCAAGCACAACTTTTGATTCTCTCTTGGCTGTTGGAGGAAGAGCTAATTTGCTTATCATGAAAGGGCCATGAGGCCTGTTTAGGAGCCTGTGTTGCTGCTGGATCACCAGGTTTAGGTGCGGGGGATGGAAGCCAACCATCAGGCGTTTGCTGTGCTGCATCCCCCCTTGCACTGATGGCCTCTCCTATGGGAAAAACAGGAACTTCCCACCGCAAGCCCCAAGTCCGTTCTCACTGCACGAGCACCGTGACTTCAAGTCTCCTTTCAGTGGGAGCTCCTTGAATGTCGCTGAAAGCGGAGAACGTCGGCACTCCAGATGCTGCCCTGTGTCTCAGATTCAGTTTTAAATTCGGATGTGTGGGACTTCTGCAATTCAGTACAATTTGCCTAACTTCTTCTGGTTGCAGTCTTGGAATCCTGGAATGGTAGCACTTGATAAACACTGCCACAAATAAGCAGCAGTAGCAACAACAACATCACAGGCACCCACATACAACTGAAGTTTTGTAGAAAAGGGGTGATTCGTCTTCCAACTACTGAAGTTCAATGAAAAAGGAAGGCACTAGAGGTCACTCTTACAATGTGAAGCACAGCACCTTACACATCTTCCCTTAGGAAAAGCACAGCTCAGCTCTGGCCTAGACTCAGTTCTATCAGTGTTTTCCCAGTATTCTGCTCGTAGTTGGGTTTACAGTACATTAACATGGTTAATTGGGCCACTAGTTGTTCATGTTTGTTTGTCTTCTTGAAGCCCATAGACAGCATAAATGGCAGACTAACATTAAATGGCTTTCTTGAGCAAGGTATCTCCTTAGTGAAGTGAAGATGACCTATACTGAGATCTGGTGAGAGCGTAGTCATCATGTCTGGCGGGCTGCAGAGGGACCTCTTGTTGATGCTTGAAATTTCAGTCCTGGTTCTGTACCTGTTCAGTGCAGGTGTGTTCAGGAAGTAGTTCAATGCTCTGGTAAATCTTTTATGAACTTAGAGAGCCCCTAACATTTTAAATTAATAGGAACATTTAAATACTGAAGTTGGAGTTATTGGTTACTATACCTGTTAGGAGTTGACTGTTCTTCAAATGCCAAGTGACTTCATCTAATGAAAGTCTCGTTTAATAATTTCTGGTTGATATTTTGACAGTGTAATTTGCAGCAATAGATAGAAGAGAAAATGGTTCATTTCACAAATTGAATTTTATTGCACAGTATTTAGAAAGGATTTTCTCTTTGGAAAGAACAAATTCTGTTTGATTCACAAGTCATGGTAGAGAGTATTTCAGATGTTTTATACTTTTTGGAAGGACAAGTATATATGTTTACCAGTGAGACTGGGATTTAGTGTTAAGAGCAAGCAGCCTCAACCAGCAAAGTACTTTAAAGTATTATAAGAACTGTAATAATTCTTTTGGACAGGACTTTATATTAGCAAAAGTGAATCAATCTTAAATACCAATATTGAAGTCAGGGAGAACTGAATATAAATAAAGAAAATTAAAAGTATTTTTCTGTCTCTCAGGTGAACCCAAAGCCCTTTTCTCTTTATTTACAGCTGATTCACCAGGAGCAAATCTGTCATCTTCTGAGTCAGTCAGAGGCTGCCCATGGGAAAGCTTTTTGGCACAGGACAGATCAGACACTAGGCACACTATAATATGGATGTTAATTGTTCTGGTTAATCAGCAGGGACGCTTTACATTAGCAGGATTCTGTGCACATACACACACATTTTTACATATATGTACATGTACTATGTATATACATAATGCACATATAAATATGTGTAGACTAGTACACCCGTGTCCTTGCACGGTTTTTGTGACTATGTTAAGTACTGTCTTGTACAAAGATGGAGTATGTTGAGTGGACCGCATTCTTTGCCTATGGGTGCCTATCTATCTGACTTTGAAAAGCAGTGAATTTGTAGAAAGTCTCTTCCCTTTGTTCATTGTGATATTGAAGTGCCCCTTTCATGAAAGTTTGGAGACAGATCCTTGTGGAAGGCTTTGCTGTTTGAGAAGCTTCACTGACTTCATCACTTGCTAAGAGACAAACACCAAGGAGGGAGAAACCTATTATATAACTTCTGAGGAATTCACTGTTTCCGAATATTAAGACATTGATAGCTCTGGGAGGGATCAATTTAGCACAAAACTAGAGATAGGTGTAAAGTTGTAGGGCTGGAGAGAGTTGTGCGTTTATTTTTATCTCTTGCAGGTCATGTGACGGAGGCTGCCTGGCTTCCGGTATACTGAGTCTTACTCTGAGTAATGCTCACCATAGAACTTCTCAATGAGTTAATTAGAACATCTCATTGTATTCCCTCTTTCTACATTTGAAATAAATGTGTCTGACAGCTGCTTTAAAAAAGCACTGAAGAATCTGTAGTAGATGGAGGTAATGGCTTGAATAGGCAATTGCTTTTGTGGGCTTTGGGAAGCAACCCACCTGTGATTGGAAACATTCTCAAATTGTTCATACTTAACCATTCATTCTTTCTAGAAGCTTCTTCCTCGCTTTCCCCAAATCGATGTGTATAGCAGACTTAACCAGAATAGGACAGTAAAGTACTGATACAATGTAGTCTATTATGCAGTGTGTCAGGTGGACCCTCAGCCATGAAGATCAGCAGGCACACTGACTCTTATAATGGCAGTCGGTTTTTATTTTTATTCCTTCAGTCCATTCTCCCCACTTCTTATTGCATACACCTCAAATCATCTCTGATTAGGGAAGTTTCTGGCATTGGGGAAATCATTGCTCCTAAGCTAACATGAACATCAACCCTGATACCTAGTGGTTACTCTGGGTAATAAATATTACTATCTTCTGAAATTAATATTGGAAGTTGTTTCACATAAAGGTATTTCAAACTGGAGTTAAAAGTTTCTTTTAGTGTGAAACATTTGAAATCATGCTGTTTTTTCATAGTGTGCATTTTCATGAACTTTTTGAAGAATTCTCATATAAATAGGTGCCAAAATGTTTTGGCACCAAAATTACCTTTTTTTATGCCATTTTCCACAAACTTTTTGATGTACTCTCAAAATATTTCTGATTTCTCTGTTGAAGCCAATCTGTATGTCAAAATTAAATTGACTTATTTCTTCCATGAAAACAGGTGAATTGAGTGGATTATACAAATTGTAAGATATCACCATTTTTAGTTTAGAGGTTGCCAGGTCCCATGAACCAAATCGGACCTGCTGCCTTTTTTTTTTTTTTTTGGTGGTATTTAAGCTAAGGAAGTTTTTGCATTTTTAGCTGAAAAAATTGAAGGAAGACTGTTTTATGGTACAAAATATATACAATTCAAATTTAGTCATCCATTATGTGTAGAACTGTATGACCAGAATTTTTACTTCAAATGTTATTATTTTGTTTTTCGAAGTATTTTTCTGTTTTGCTATGTAAGTACTTATATAATATTCTTTTCTAGTTGTCTCTTATTGAATAGAATAAGTTCATTGCTGCTGATTTAAATAATATGCAATATATGTGTAGTGTATAAATGCTACTACTATGATAAAGCTTAGTCTTAATAAGTTTGCCCACAAGTCCAAATTTGTAGGGTTGTGGTACTGAAGGTCAACATTACCCTTGATAGGAAACCTTCAAGTTAATATCTCTGTCATGTTCCTTCAGAAATCTTGTTAGTGCTGTATGAATTATTTGTAATTACGTGTAGAGTTTTATCAGTTTTGGGAAATAAGGGGGCATATGTCATCTCAAGTAATCCTATTGGTATAAGATGCGTAATTTCATCTTTGATATTTTGGACAACAATTCTAATGTTAATTTCCGTGTTCATGAGTATAAACATTTTCACTCCACACCAATCAGAAACTTACATGGAGGAAGTGTTCTTCTAAGAAGAGTGCTTTTGCCTCTATACCTTTCTTTCTTTTTTTTTTTTTTTTTAATAGGCAGAGTAGACAGTGAGAGAGAGAGACAGAGAGAAAGGTCTTTCTTTTGCCGTTGGTTCACCCTCCAATGGCCGCTGCGGCTGGCGCACCGCGCTGATCCGAAGGCAGGAGCCAGGTGCTTCTCCTGGTCTCCCATGGGGTGCAGGGCCCAAGGACCTGGGCCATCCTCCACTGCACTCCCGAGC